GGGCCTCTGCTGGCCCCCCAGCCCCTTCCCCTCATTGCGGGCCGAGCCCCGGCTCACCTGGTGCTGCTTGAGTGGCAGCCTGCCTCTGCCCACGGAGCAGAAGGAGAAGGCCACGTCCGCGTACTGGGCGCTGCACTGCCCTGGGAGCAGTGCCCCGGCCCAGGCTGCCGATGTCCGGCCGGTGAGCAAGGCAGAGTCGGGACGACGGACTGGGACCAGCCCTGCAGGAGGAGGGGAGACGCAGCCATGGAAGGTAACAGCTTCGCCCCCGGGCCCCGGGCCGAGGGCACTGCCGAGCAGGTAGGACGTGCCACGATGGAGAAGAAGGGTGACGCAGTCCCCTGGCATCTGCCTCCCTTAGAACGTCTTCCCCGCCTGTCCTCCAGGGAAGTGGCTGCCACACCCCGGGGGCGGGGACAGGAGAGAACACAGGCCCCAAATGCCAAACAAAAGAAAATCATGAAAAACAGTTTCAAAGGAAGAATTAATTGTACCCAAGACTCTGGGTGAGATAGTTTTCCTAACTAGACATAAATCGAACTCTGAGCTTCCCGGTAACAGAGGCAACATGTGAAATGGACGCTGCCTAAGAGAGCTCTCTGGGTCATCTAAGATTATTAGCCAGAATCTCTTATTGCGAGACAGACTCCAGGCAAGAGGAGTGGGGGTGAGTCCCCACCTGGTGACTGAACAGTTAGTCCACAGTCCACAGTCCCGTCGGGAGGGATCCCACGCCTCTGGATTTTATAATGGGGGTGTTGTCCCATTCGGGAGGTCTCAGACAGGGCAACAGAAGAGGGTGCGGGACCTCAGTGCTAATGTCACGGTGGGGACAATGACAGGAGCCGCCCAGAGCCTGGCAGGCTGTTCTCCCAGCGGGCGGCGGAGCCAGAGGGAGGGGCCGCGCTTCTTCATCCTGAGCCTGGCGGCTGATAAAGAAGGCGCTGGGCCCGAGAGAGGGGCCTGCAAGGCCTGGGTTAGCCTTCCTTCTCCGAGAGACATGAGGTGTTGGGCCTAGGGGTTCCTGGGGAGGGAGACTGGGGGATGGAGAAGAACCATGCCGTTCCCCAGGACTCCAGTGAACACCACACATCCGGGCTTTCCTCTGGGGACCCGCCCGGGCAGTCCTAGGTCCCTCCCAGGAACGCTTACACTGTCTGGCTATGCAGCACTTCCGTGCCTTGACTTCCCCAGATAGGCGTCCTGGGATTGTCCCCACCCGAGGGCTTTGAGCAATATGATGCCAACGTGCCTGGTATTTTCAGCTCTCCTGCCCAACAGCCCCAGGGATGACATCCGGGGACCCGGGGTCTGAGCCAGGCTGGACGAAGGGACCGCCTCGGAGGAGGGCGAAGATGTGCCGGGGGAGCAGCAAGCAGAAAACACTGAGAAGGTAGGTGTTTGGCCACCGCTGTCCTTTCCGCAGGTGCCTGTCGTGTTGGTAACTACAGACCTTGGCCTCACCCCAGGAAAAACGTCCCATGGGATTCAAAAGGAGCCTCTGTGCTCCAGGGAAAGGGTTCCTGCCAAGAGCCCGGGTCTGGGCTTTCGAGGGGACAGGACCCGGCTGGTCCCCACAGCCCCCTGGCTGCGTAGTCTTCAATGGCACCTTTCCAAGGCCAGGACCCGAGCGACTATTGGAAATAACTGACCTGAACCACGCCCGTCCACGTTAAGTCCTCAAGAGAAAGTGTGTTAATTATTACAGCGTTTACTGCTTTTTTTAATTACGCAAGCGATGCAGGTCTTTTGCAGAAAAATTAGAAGATACAGATGAACGAAGAGAAGACAATAAAACTCCTGGTAATCTCTCCACCAGAGACAGTCAGCGTCAGCATTAGATGCCCTTCCAGACTGTTCTCTACCACGTGCTCGCGCATAATACACAGGCAGCACGTGGCGGGGTGTGGGTTTTAATACCATTCTTTGATTGTCTTGCTCCTTTGCTCATAACCCTTCGTGCTGCCCGTGGCGTATGAGTTAGAAAGCCAGCTCTTTATGCAGCCCCTGCCCTCTCTAGACCCCCACGAAGCTTTCGGTCTCCTTTCCGCACAATCTCCTCCTCTCCCACTCGGTGACTCGGTGCGGTGTCGCTGGCCCTCTCCCATTCTCTAATAGGACTCTGACCCCACGTCCCTAAGACCCTCCGGCCCCCAGCAGCTCCCCTTCCAGGCATGCTCAGCCTCTGCACCCCATGACTGTCAGTAATTGATCCAAAGCCTAGCTCTGCTTCCAGAGGCAACGCGAACTCCTGACTGGGCCCTGCAGCGGCTCCGCCCTCCGTGGCTGCAGGCACCCCCTCCCGAGGCCCCGGCCCCTGCTCTGAGTGTCTGCCAGGATAGGCGTCCAGAGTGGCCATCGCTGAGGGCTGTTCTGTACAGGGCACTGCACCGTGATGCCCCACTTTTCTCAAGGGGAATCTGAGACACACCGAAGTCAGGTGACCTCCCAGGGGCCTGTATCCCCCCCCCCCACCCCCTCCCCGCAGTGGGCATCAGAGTTGCCTGCAGTTTTCTGGAGTTTCCTGTGATGCTGGGTGGAACTCAGTGGGTCTGGGGGTGGGGGCTGAGGGTCTGCTTTCCTGGCATCCCTGGTGAAGCTGGGTTGCTGACAGGGAGCGTCCTGAGGAGCCATGCTTCTGCCCACACCACATCCTGTCCTTCCCAGCGCCCGCCCTCTCTCTGACCCAATCTCCCACCGCTTTCTCCTTTTGAAAGACTCGGGTGGTAAATGGGGCTCACCCCACTAATCTCATCATCTTACTGTGCCCACAATTACTCCTCAAAGTCCTTTTTGCCATGGAAGGTAACACATTGACATGATCTGGGGATGAAGGGCTGGGCACCATTCTTCTGCCTGCCACCCTATCCATCCATCTGTCCGTCCATCCACCCGCACACACATGACTGTATGTATGCATATAGATAGCGTGTCCCCAAAATGTAAACACTTTGACAGCTGATAGCTCACTTAATTTTCACTTCTTTTCAGGTTTAACTGATTTGAAATAATGGATGAAGCCAGACTAAGCTTTGAACAAAGAAAATTTATCGTAAAGTGCCACTAGACTATTTTTTATGGGAGATACATAAAAGATAAAGTTTACAGCACAAAACTGTCAACAGTCAATGAATTGAGGGCATATAAATACCAAACGAAATGATTCTTGATCCCCCTCCATTGCTTGGCGTTATCAGCAGTGCCTGGACCAGAATGGTCATCAGTTCAAAAACACGGAAATGATAAAAAAAATCATTTCTGTAAGATTCTTTTAAATCTTGAAAATGAATTGTATGTTTATAAACACTGACTTTATAATCATTCAAAGTGCATATACATTTTGTAGGGACACCCTGTATGTCTCAACTTATATATCCATCTCTATCATCTATCAACCTGTGTGTTCTCTCCTCAAGAAAGAAGCCTATATTATTAATTCTCTTTCCCATTTTACTTCAGTTGTCTTAATGTTCTATAGAAAACGAAATACTGTACTCGAGACCCCCCCTCCAGGCCTTTGCTCACAGAGAATGGTGAGCTTTCTGTATCAGAGTATCTGTTCTCTTTTTTCTTGTTTTGGAAAATAAAACAAAAAAAAAATACAGAAAAGCTCAGAAAATATATGACAGACACCTGGGTAATGACCCAGTGTTGAACAAATGTTAACATTTTGTTATATTTGCTTCTGAGCCTTTAAAAAAATCACATAAACGGTTATTCTATATATTATATGTTGTGAAAAATAAAATAAATAAAACACAGAAGATAATGATGCAGTTTTATGTATTTGGCACTAATTGTTTCAATCCATGTTCTCATACTTGAACAATTGAGGTACCCACTACTTGCACATAATAATGTTGATTTCTGTCTTTAAAATCTGTATATAAATATCAAGCTATATTTATTGTTCTGCCCGACTTTAAACTCAGTATTGTGTTTCTGAAGAGATAGCCATGCTGCTACATACAGCTCAAATTCATTCCCTTCATTGCTGTAGAGTGCTTATCTCATGAGTACATTTCATTTATTTCCAAAATTTTTGACTTATTTTGCAATGAGCATGAGTACGCATGCCTCCTTAGGCACAGTGCAAGAGGTGGTCTAAGAAACATACTTAAAAGTGGAATTGCTAGATGATAAAGTAATCACATTCTCAACTTTACAAGTTATTACCAAGTCCCTCCACAATGGCAGTGCCATTTTCCTCCTCTGGGAGCAAGCGGCAGCCCTGCGCCCACTTTCTTACTAAGGTCTGTTATTAGCAGATGTTTAAATGTTTTGCCCATCCAGAATTTGTAGGATTCTGCACCTACTTTAATTTTGTCTATATTATGTGCGTGTTATATACATATATTGCAAATATTTTTTCCAAGTCTGTTATTTGTCTGTTTGAGCTCATTCATTTGTATTTTCCCACCTCACTGCAGATGTCCTGAGTCTTCATTCTTTTTACGTAGCAGACCTTCATTCTGGGGTTGCTTTCTTCTGTCTAAGGCATGTTTTTAAGGATTCCCTTTAGAGGATAAAAACCACATTTACTTTATCAGTCTGAAAGTACATTTATTTCATTGTTTATTTCCAAAACATCCTTGTTGTTGAGAAATATTTCTGCTGGGTATGCAGTCCTAGGTTGGCCTTGTCTTTAGCATGCAAAGCTATCCTAAGGCTGTGCCGTGTGGTAGGGCAGTCAGCTCTCGGTCTACTTCTCTGTCCTCTGAAGGTCTTCCATCTCTGGCTACATTACAGATCTCCTTTTAATCTTTGGTGTGCCACACTTTTATTTTGATGTAGAGAAGTATGTGTTACTTTTATTTATTCTATTAGGAATCCATTGGGCTTTTATGATTTATGGATTGATGTCTACCTAGAAAATTCTCAGGCCTCATTGCTCAAACACTGCCCTTGCCCCGTTCTCTCTCCTCTCTTTCTGGAACTCTAAAATAATGTATTGTAGGTGTCCTCAATCTTCCACGCCTCTTTTTTTTTTTTTTAAATCCTCACCCAAGGATATCATTCCATTGATTTTTAGAGAGTGGAAGAGAAAGGCCAAGACAGAGAGAAATATCAATATGACAGAAACACATCAAATGGTTGCCTCCTGTACCCGCCCTGACCAGGGTCCAGGCTGGGGAGGAGTCTGCAACCAAGGTCTGTGCCTTTGATCAGAACCGAGCTCAGGACCCTTTGGTCCACAGGCCAGTGCTCTATCCACTGAGCCACACCGACTAGGGCTTCCATGCCTCTTAACCTCTATTTTCAATAACTTTGTCTCTCTGTGCTATCATCTCCATGCTTTGTTCAGATCTATCATTAAAATTTTACTAATTTTCTTAATCCACTGACTTATTTTTGAAAATTTCTGCTGAAATATATTGAATTTCAATATTATGCATAATTAAAATATGCAATTTAATAAGTTTTGACATGTGTGCACACCTGTGAAACCAATAACACCATCAGGATAATGAATGTGCCCATATCCCCAAAGTTTCCACGTGTCCCTTTGTGATTCCTGCCTCTGGCCCACCTGACACCCACCCATCCCCAGGTAACCACTGATGTGCCCGCTGTCACTGTAGCTTAGTTCACTTCTAGAATCTTATAGAAATAAAGTCGTACAATATGTGCTCTGTTTCTTGGGGGAGGGGGCACTGGCTTTTCAGGTCCATTCATGTTGTTGTGTGTATGAATAATTCATTCCTTTTATTGCTAAACTAGTGGCCCAGAGCACAAAATTCATGCACATTAAAAGGGAATTAATTAGAAGAAATATTTTAATATTGCTATTTGCTGATTCTCTATAATAGAAGTGTGAGAGATGAAAGGAAATTAGTAAAATGTATATGAAAATAATATATAAATTTATTAATAAACAGTAACAAAAGGATATAACAACAATAGAGGCATGATATAAAAACAACAAAAACATGATATGAAAACAACAAAAACATGATATAAAAGCAACAAAAACATGATATAAAAACAACAGTGATGCAAACAATGACTGATAAAGTGATTAAACTTATTCTAATATCTCCTGTATACCACATTAAGAGTGAAAACACTTTCAGAGTGCTTGACTAATTTCCCTTGTGTTGAAGTATTTAGAACTTTAACTTTAACGTCACATGATTTTCGAACTTGAGAGAAAGCAACATATAACTGACCATGTGCGAAAACAGGTTCAGGTAGGAATATTCCTACTCTGTCTAGAGTTTGTCTTTGTGATTTATTAATAGTCATCACAAATGCTGGCATCACGGGAAACTGTTGTTGAATCAATTTAAATGGGAGGCCAATGTCAGATGGGGACAAATCAATGGTTAGAATCAGAACAACCTCTCCCCCTGCAGATCCTGTTAATACTTCAGCTTTGATAATGTTAGGTCG